TTTGAGCTGACTATTGTTAGACTCTTATAAGAGCAAAAAAATCTTAACTTGAAATATTTAGAGTTAGTCGCCAGGGAGTTCTAAAATTGTCTGTCGTCTTATTCAACGGATTGTATTACAAAATGCGGTTACAACATGCAAAAGAAGAGTACCATAAAATCAATGCTACTAGTATACTATTGAATGCATTCACTCAAGTAAAACATACATGTAGTTTAAATAAAAAGTTTTTATAATATAATCAGGGTGAATAATTTCATTGCGTTATTGACTCAAAACATTACACAGCAATAATTTTTAAAACAATTCTTTTTTTCAATGAAGTTGAATTTTTAGAATCATTATTCATAATATTTCCAATTGACAATATATATCAATTAACAAAATTGTATTTATTAATAAGACTATATAAAACAATAAAGATTCCATTTATTATTTTCGTCACATCAGATAAAAATTTTGACTCAATATTTCACGTATAAAACTTTTATTTGTGTTATATGTAATATATTTTAAATTATTAAAAAACATACTTGTATGCGTTATCAACCAAGATGTTAAGTACTAAATAGTTACAAAAAGTATTTGTGTAGTATTACACTTGAAGCTCGTGACTAAAATTATTAAAAACTAAAGTAACAAAGTTTCAGTAACACCCTTCCTACCATTGAATTTACTTTTTTGGCAGATAAAATTAATGATAGCCATGTTAACAATAAAAATTGATTATTTTTCATTGTATTTAGTATTTTTAGCTTTACACATCTAGTTGATGTTTTTTGAAAAATCATGCTAAAAAGTTACTTAATAATAACTGTAATTAATACTTCGGAATCACTAAAAATAAATAAAATAAATTGTATTTGTAATGACAACTGCCACATAAAAAGCATTAATGAAAAACAAAACAACATTTTTAACAGACATATGTTAAAAAAATATATTGTACAAAATCTTATGTTAGTATTTACACAAAATTTATTTTAAATTTAATTATGTAAATACTAGGTAAAAATATTACTATTGTAAAATTAACGCTTACGTTCATTTTTTTTTTTTTTTTAATAATAGCTATTTTCAATAAAAAAATTAAAGGAATAAAGATGTTAATAAACAGGTTAACTTCAAGAACCTTGATGGAAAAAAAAGTTTTTAGAATTTCACTTAAAATACCAGTAGTATTTTTCGTTGCCTAAAAAGTTTTGAAAAATTTTACTATTGTCTTTACAAAAAAACTTTCATTGTTTGAAATTTGTTTTCTAAATTATGATATCTATTTAAAAAAAAAAAAAAAAAAAGTTCGACAACGATTATTTTTAAAATAAAGTAGACCGTTTTATAAATCATCCACTCTAAAAAAAATTATATTATAATGTTATTTATATAATTTAAAACGCCATGAAGTAACCTAGCTACAAAAAAATTAATATATCTACTAAAATTGTTTAAATTAAATAAGTTTTTTATAAGCGACAATTAAAATTTTAAACGAGAGCGAATTCTATCGCATACAAGTCACAATGTTAAAAAATAGTTTAATTGTTTGATAGATGGCGTTTTAAGTTCTTATTCTATAAGTTGTGAAGTCAATATATAATTAGTTGATTTAAGTAACACCGGTCAAATTTTAACAATCGTTTGGATAATTACCTAATACCAAAAATGTAACTTAGCCTTTGCATTTACATCAAAATTCAAAAGTTATTAGTATGAAATTATTGCATCTTTTAATTTTTGCATAATTAATATAATAAAACGGTAGCACAGTGGGGTCGCGGCATAGTGGAGATATTGCATAGTTGGGTCCAGATAGATTTAATCTGACAGTGATTAAAATCACTATCATAAGAAACGCTTCGATGCAAATCTGTAGATAGTGTTTAATTTTAAAAAATTGATGGATAATTGCAAAATTAACATCAACTTCTATTAAAATAAAATACAAAACCCATAATTTGAATACAAAAATAGCATATTTTTGNAAAAAAAAAAAAAAAAAAAAAAAAAAAAAAAAAAAAAAAAAAAAAAACACATCATAGTAAAATTAATACCTTCTCCGCTTCGCATCGAAGCTAAAATTGAGCGTAAAGAACTTTTAAATTTATTATAATTAATTAATGACAAATTATAATAGGTAAAATTTATTGAAACTAGTGTCATTCTAGGTAGTAGAATTCATCCATCCTCCTATAAAATATGTGGATTTTTTTTTTTTATTGAAATAAAGTTTTGCTACTTTAATCTACACAAATTATACGACAATTATACTTTCAAACCAAACTAAACCTAAATTAGCGTATTATGATAATGATTTCTATTAATATCAGATTTTAATTTAATCGGTTGTCAACTACTCTTAGTATCTTACTATATGATTAAAAATTAGGAAAATTAGCCAATGTTGGAAAAATTACTTAACGTTGTTCAATTTTCAATTTTTATTTTATTTATTGACCTGTCATTTTGTTAATTACAATTTTTTTTATTATATAAGTTAAATAAATATTAATGTTTCTACTAAAAAAATAAAGTTGACATTTCTGTAAGACATAAGGGATGACCTTAAAATTGATTTCAATGCAGATAATTGAAGATACACATGCAAGTAACAAAATCCAAAATAAAAATTCATTATAAAATTATTATTTTAAAGAAATTGAGTTGCGATATTAGGCTGGCTGATGTGAGCGTAGATGATATGGGTGAACGTGTCAAGTGAAAGTCTAGTATAAGGGTAGTAGACCCCAAGTAGTTGTATTAAGGCGAGAAAAAAGAAGAAGATTTTAAAGAAATTGAGTAGACATCGTTAAATTAAGGTCGTGGTCATAAATTATTACCTCTAAAGCTTTTAATTCTGAAAGTATCACTAAATCTATTTTTACAAACGCTATTTATATAATTCATATAATTATGTTTGTAAGAAATGTCAATATATACACAAAGTTTTACAGCTCATTGAAGCTAAAAGGATTCAATTTAATTATAATTTTAATCCTGCGTTCATATTTGTATGATTCTTTCATTGTTACATCATTATTCTTAGTACACCCACTCGAAACTTAGGAAAACTTTCTGTGTAGGCGCACTATCCTCAAATCGTTAATGAACCATCGATGATTTGACGTTTTTACAATGTAATAATTTTAAAAAAATACTAATTTTAAATTGTATAGGTATTATTTACCATGGTCAGAAAAACGCTTTACAATTGCATTTTGTAATTCATATCAACCCTACAATACATGTGTATAAATATTACATTGATTCTTGATAATAAAAGTTGATAGTGGATATACACGCTAACTTTTATAATGCATATTTGATTGTAACAGGTATACAAAAAACTCGTGATGATTAAAAAATAAACTTTATATTGCTTAAGGTCGTGGTTCGAATTCCAAATAACCAAAAGTTATTTCTAACTCATAAGTATTTTATGAAGTTTCGATTGGATACAGTTTGTTTACTTTTATTACCGAGAACTAAAGAAGATTAAGTCGTTTGAAAATAATCAATAGTATTAATTAATTATCTATTTTTAATTCAAATTATTTTCCCATAAAATTAATACTCTCCAACATTTAATGAGAGACCATAAAAAGTTTAAAACATTTCATATTAAAATGTGAATAATAAAACTTTAAATAATTATTAATAATTAGTGAAGCGTATTCAAAATTTTACAAAGAGACTGATTTAAATGTCAAAGTTTGAATTAAACTAAGTATTCGATGAAATGTAAACAGCAAATACTATTGTATTTTTATTTAAAAAAATATTACAATGTTATTTAGTAAAGGAAATAAGGTTTATTGTCAAACAATGTCTGTTTATACTGTTGTTCATGGGCCGCAAATTGCGGCTATTGTAGTAGCTGAAAATACATGAAACTTTGTTAATTGCCTATTAGTAATGACTCATAACAATAATACCACTCGCAAACATACTTTACATGGTTAAATTGCACTTTGCTATAATTTAAATAATAGTCCTACCATTATCTCTAACTTAATGATTAATCTAAAATATTTTATTGTTCTCCACTGTGCAACTAAAATAAGACAAAGTATTTGATAATAATTGATTAAATACCATTAGATCGTCAATCGTATATGAATATATCAAAATTAACTTATTACATATATTTATTAAATTATTTATGATAAAAAATGTCACTGGTAATACACTTTTTCACTCTGGCTATTTTCTTAAAGTCAAAAATAATTTCTCTTTTTACAATATATTAAACGTTAAAAAGTTGAAAACAAACAAATAAAATAGAATACAATAGAATTAGAAAAAGGACAATAAATAGCAACTTGTAAAAAAAATAAGCACATCAATTTATTTTCCACATGGAATAAAAGCGATTGGTTATAGTATCGTATTTCAAATTAGGAACCCGAATCTCAAAATCCTATCTTGAAATACAACCATTGATTGGCAAATGCTGCTATATTCTAGTGTGTTATACAAAAAAGTAAACGCTTGTTGAATTTTAATGAGTATTTTTAAATCGGCATTTTTTTATAAACTAAATGTATGGTACAGTTATTTTAATTACCGAAAAACGGTCGATGCACGAGACTTACGATTTCTGTTGCTCAATGTTAAGAGCAATCTTATTACATGTATATTTATGTAACTGGACACGATCCAAGCGATGGTGTGATGAAATATCAGTGATCTAATGAGTTGTATACATGTTATGTATATAAACAATATTTTATTAGACATTCTTAAAAGAATCTATAACACATTCTTTTGTTAATGTGCTTATCAAATATATGATTATTTAATGAAGCCATCATATTGGCGTGTAACTAATCATATTTATTGAAATGACTATAGTTGATATTTTTTCGTTTGTGGGACCGTTTAATATGTTTTAGTAAAAAGTAAGTACCATTCATGTACGTCATGCGCACATGGCCCTCCGATCTCTTGTAAACATGTGCTACTGGCGCAAAAACGAAGAACACAGTAGTCCTTCCGTTTCCGTCGGAAAGATCACACTAACGTGCTTGATTTACTTATTATTATTTATTTATTTTATTTTATTTAAAAAAAAAAATAGTTATTCAATTAATATGATAGTTTACGCATGCTAGTTTTTTTTTTTTTTGTTTATATTAAATCACATAGATAAAATGACTACATATCTATGGAATTACATCGAAATGCAATATTACATTACTTGTATGTAATACTCTACTTACAATCAAATGTACCATCAAGATGATCCGACCTGGGTAATATTTTATAAAGATAATTCAATACCGAAAAAAATAATTTTTTAATTAATAAATAGATCGTCTCAACAATGATTTTCTTTTAGATTTTAGAGTTCTGTTATTCTTTTAAAAAATCATAATAATTACCAGAAAATATAAATAAAAAAATTGAAATATACAACAAAATAAAACGGTAAAATTCTTATTGGTAAAGTTTCATTTTCATTTTATGTTCAATTTGTTAAAAAATTCTTGGAGTTTTTACCGGGTCATTAAAAAAGTCTTTAAAAAAATACCTGTCTAAAACATAAATAAACAGTTTGAAAATTGCCACACAGTACCCATGTCAATTTTGAAATTTTTTGCCGTTTAAAAAACTGCATGTTTAAAATTTAACAACCTAGATTTTTACAATTTAAATAATGTCGTCCACACATTTCTTTGCGATTTAAAAAAAGTATTAACAATCATCACATATGGTGATATTTGATAGATGTTATATTTCATCTCAATGAACTATTTGTATGTGATCATAAATCCATTCTTCAAACTTTGCATTTGTAAATGTTCTATACTATATACGAGATTATACTTATAAATCATAAAAGCTTTTAAAATTGTATATTAAATCACCAAAGTTCCACAATAATAAGGCTTAATACTGATAGAATCCTTAGAGAAATTTAATGATATATTATACACAGTGAACACTCATCATAAGAGTTCATCTTTCAAGTAAACCCTTAAAATAAAATAAGTTTTAAATACCTTACAAATAAATATGTTCCGACAAATATCGACCTATACTTAAAATATAACACTATGCCTCAATTTCATAAAAAAAGGACATGGTAGTATGTTTCCTTTTAAATAGAATCCATATAATATTAATAACTTAAAAAAATATAAGTACATAAATATAAGTTAATGTTTAGGATTTTTAGATTTTAAATGACTATAGTAATGATTAAAAACTGTTTACATTATCCAAAACAGGAAACAAAAAGTAACAATCTTACCTACTAAATACTCTTATTCTAATTGACTTGTTTTAAAAAACTCTTGCGAGTATAAAAATGTTTTTGGATATATTATCACGTGTAGGTTACAATACGTAATAATAAAAAAATGTTGACACAAAAGTAAGATAATAGCGTCCTTACGAGTATATTTGGTTTGATTTTACGTGTATTATATTACACAACTTGGTGTTTTACCTCTCCTATGATTTATACTTCCCTAGATATTTCTTCTGAATCCTTATTTTCTACACCATTGACCTCGTACTCTTTTCACATCATAGAATATATATTTTTTCCTAACGTTGTTTTATGTTGTATTGTATTATATTTGAAAATACGTTATATGTTTATAACAAATCGTTAAATTTGTCATAACGGAATGGAGAACAAATTCTTAAACTTCTAATTCATATTTAAAACATAGTCATTTACATTGTTTAGTTATATTTGAATTAATAACTTATAATTATTAGTTGCCCACGTTTTGATTAAAAAGGTAATATAATAACACGTTTTTTTTTTCCATTTTTAAATAACAACAATGTGCTTTTTAAATAATTACTCTAATTCGAATTAACATAATAAAACATTTTATAAGCCGGTACTTAATAAATAACATCCTGTCCTTAATAAAAACTTTTATGACGCTGAATAAAACTAATATACGGCAATAGGTAAAAATAAACCTACTCATACAAAACGAACATATTAATTTTAAGTGCTCTTATGCATTACAAGAAAAAAAATCAATTTATAAATTTGATACAAATGCAAGTACGTACCTCATAGTTGTTGTATAATTATGCTATGAATGCGTTTTAAAATTAATAGCTCGAACGATAAATTTGCTAATTTGACGAAATTGCATCATAAAAATGAAAATAATTCTTTACATATTGTACAATAGGTGTAAAATGTAGAAATTTAATCACAAGAAATAGTTTTTAAACATCTTCAACGAATGTTAATTGAATTATTTACATAATTTTTAAAGATTAAGATTTTTCTAAGACTTAAAAAAATATGTATGTCTAAGAAATAAACAGAGTGATTGATTTATTGTTTACCACTAGACTTCTTCTGAAATAATAAGTTACGGTACCAAAAACATTATATAAAAATTTGATTTTTTATTTTTTTATTCCACAATCAAATAAAGAAGAAATTCTATCATGTTTTAACATAAAAATCTGAGTTTTTGTTCGTTTTATAGAACAATTATACTAACAATAGTATTTTAGATATATAAAAAGCTTATTGCTTGTTAAAATATATAATTCACTACCTTTTACTAGATATACCGAAACATTTCTGTGAATTTCTATTATTTTAATGAAAAGTTACGATTCAATTACATATATTTTTAGCAACTATACACATAAAATAATGAAAAATAATGAACAAAACATTTTTACTCTCATTCAGTAAAAAAATGTATTGATTGTTACGAAAAATAACGAAAATGATTTATTAAAATTAGAGCTAATTGAACTTTGAATAAAATACAATTGCAAAATTCAGATCATATTACTAGTATAAAATGAAATACTAATAAATACCTAAATGTACTACAGTATACTATATACTGTAGTATACTAAAATATTACTAAAAATATATTACAAGTATTACGTATGGCTAAAGAAAACGTAAAAATATTTTCTCTTCTATATCAGCAGAATTGTTTCTCACTATTTTCTACGTCGTAAATTTTAATAATAATAATTATGTTATCCTCGGAACGATGATTTTTTGATGCAAAGATTGTCTTTTTAATGATTAATAGGAAGTAGGAAGCTTCTATCTCAACTTAATTTATTCTACATCATTAAATCATAAAAAAAATATTGTAATACTTATGAAAATAAGTATTCTGAGTGCTATAACAATACAATAAAGCTATATAAGTATTAAATCACACAGAACTTTTTTTTTATCAACAATTGTAAAACACACTATACATATTATAACATTCTAAGATTTAAGTTTTTTATTTTAGAATTTTTATAGTGTGGGGTGTAGTAAAGAAAATAATAAGCAGTACCTTTATAATAAACAAAAGTTTTGTGAGCTTTACTAAAATATATGAAATTCATATTCATCAATGTCACGTTAACACTTTTTTTAACACGTTCTGTGATTTCTATAATACAGTGAGTCAAGTAAATATTTGGATATGGTCTAGAAAAGTTAATTTGCCTCTCGAATTGCCTCCGTCTTACAGACCACTTAGCGTAGTCAACACTATTAGAAAAATGTTTAAACGAGTGTTGAAATCATACTTAAAGATCTGTAAGACTATGGTAATTTAAGAGACAAATTAATTTTTCTAAACTATGTCCGATTATTTACTGTACTCATCAAATATGAAAATAAAATAAAATTGTTTTGACTTAATCTACTGTTATACTTAATTACTGTTATAAACTTATATTTAATAATAATACCTCCTGAATAGTATAAATTTTAAAATCAAATCAAGTACTGTTTAAATTTAACGTTCTCAAACCACTGTTTGGGGTAGATAGGACGAAAAAACCCTATACAGCTTAACACATGAACTCTAATCTCAATATTTGCACATAGTGTGATACATTTCCTACTGAGCTGTAAAAGCTACCTCTTATATTTAGATGATTTAAAAAATAGCTGATTAAATTTGTATTTGTATCTTTTAAACAAAAAATAGAAATTTATTTTATACTATTTTTGTCTTGGATTTGAATAAAATAATAAATTATTATTATTATATTTATAATCTTTATTATATCGTTTTTAAATATTCAACTATAATAGGAAAAATTGCAATCATGAGTGTCCTAGAGCTAAAAAAAACGAATCTTAAAACGAATAAATTATTGTAAAAAACAATTTTGAGGATATCATTTTATTTTTTTGATAATTATTTTATTTATGTTTTACAAAAGTAGTGCAGCATTTTAAGATAGACTGTGTGGCTAATTCGGTTATGTGAAGTGCCTAATGTCTCAAGTTCGAGAATCGGTTACTAGCGACTTTGTTTGTTGAATGAAAGATTAATACAGTAATTAGAATCACTATCCATCTCTCCTTTAATAGACTAATCACTCAATTTGTAATATCCACGATTAGGAAATCTTCTGTTCGCGGGAATCCGCTATGGTCCTTAATTGACTGCAAAAAAATAAATAAATAAGAAATTCAGGTATTTCAGGAAAAGTCAACGGGTTTGTGAGTCTTACAGTCAAAGGACACTATATATTTGAATTTCAGTTATAAGCAAATTGTTTTAAACTATGAAAAAAGAATATTATTTTATAAATATATCTGCATTTATTTTTTATTTTTAAATCAACAATTCGGGGAAGACTTCCTTTGACTATATATTATTATTCCAAAATTAATTTTAAGCTATTTTAACAAAATGATATAACACATTAATAATCTAATCTTTACAGAAAAATTTTAACTAAAAATTGATATTTTATTATTTTGTACGAAATTTAAAATAAATATTTTCTAATTAAACTACTGAATATATCTTTAAGTTGCATATAAGTGTTTCATCGACTACATGAATATTTTTCGGCTTTGTGAAATAATGGGAGGCTACATTCAACTTTCATAGTTATTATTAAAAAACTAAAAAGCAATCTGTTCTATTTTAGTAGAAAATATATAATTAATTTAAATAGCAAAACTACTTATTTATATAAAAGTAAATCAACGAATAAAAAATTAATTCAACATCAGTAACTGTCCGAGAAAAACAAAGTAATAAAGTCTAGAAAAACAAATCAGACTTCTCAATCGTTGGCGTTAATATAAGTCTGAACTAAAGAACGTACACAATTAATTCACGCTCCACTCGTCTATTAAACATCAGGAAAACTATTATATATTTAAGATACACTGGTTTCGAAATAATAACTGTCAAAGAAAACTAGAACATGTAAGAATAAAAGGAAAAACATAATATTTTTTTAAAATAGAACCCATTCTATGTGTGCAATACCATT